AAAAAAAAAAAAAAAAAGGGGCCGGCTGAGCGGCTCAGTTGGTTAAGAGCTCGCGCAAGAGTTTGAGCTCTGAGCAACAGCGGTTCAATGCCCGGCCCGAGCTGAGCAGCCCCTGAGCTGCCAACAGGTGGCAGGATGGCTCAGCTTAAAAAAAAAAAAAGTCAAACAGAAACAAAAACAAACACGCAAAAGCAGTCCAGCCAATGAGAGTAATTGACATGCCATCCTAGCTTTGCTTGCATCTCTGAAAGAAACTGACATGCAATCTGAGCCATGTCCCAGCACTACTTTTTCTTTATGCTTTAAAAAAAATTTTGGTTTTTTAGATTTTTTATTGGGGAATTGGGGAAGGGGAACAGCCAAGTTGTTGTTCTTCAATCTTAGTTGTGGAAGGCACAGCTAGCTCAGCTCCAAGTCCAGTGGCCATTCAGCAGCCTGTGGCAGCTCACAGCTGCTCAGCTCAAGGTTGCTCAGCTCAAGGTGGCGTGTTCAATCTTAGTTGCGGGTGGCTGTAGCCCACCATCCTACTCGGGAGTTGAACCAGCAACCTTATTGTTAGGAGCACGTGCTCTCACCAGCTGAACCATCCTGCCACCTATTGGCAGCTCAGCTCAGGCTCAGCTAAGCTCCAGCGCAGCTCACTGGCCCATGTAGGAATAGAACCGGCGACCCTGTTGCTCAGAGCTCGCGCTCAACCAACCGAGCCACTTGGCTGGGCTGGGCCTCTTTGCTTTTGATGTGCTTTTACAAATTAGATTTGTATTTATTTCAAAATAATATATTTATTTAAAAAGTAAACAATTTAATGAGACTTACAATAATAAAAACTGACAGTCCTGTGTCCCACCTACTCCAAATTCTTGGTCCCACAGACAACCAGTTTCAGCTCTTAACTGTTTCTATTAGCCAATATCTCCACATCTCTAAAACATGTGCTCACCAGCTTTGACCCTCTGTGTGGCTACTGTGTTTGGATTTCAGGTGATTTAGAGTCTTCATCGCCTCTCTTTTGTGTTGAATTCCACTGCTTAGATCCCGGGTCTTCTTCCCCTTCACTGATTTACTTCATAATTTTTGAAAAGTCCTTTCTCTGGGCACTTCCTGAGAATGGAAGTGGACGTGCCTGCAAAAGTCTTTGTTCAGGCTTCATCCTTGATTGACAGCTGTGGGTGGGTATGGGGTTCTAGAATGGACATCCTTTCTCCTCAGAACCTTAAAGGCCTGGCTCCATTGTCTTCTAGCTTCCACTCCCATTTACTTGAAGCCATGTTTCCTCGTCCCTTCCTTTCCTTCCTGCCTGGGGAAGAGTAGCCTCTTCTCTCCACCCACAACTCTCTGGCCTCCAACCCAGCCCCTCCAACTCCATTGGACCCCGAGGCCGTTGTCTTTTAAAATCTCTCCTACTCTCTCCTATTCTTGTTCTGTGTGCCCGTTCTCCTGATTGTGCCTCACAGAAGCCCAGAAACTGTGTGTTGTGTGTGTGTGTGTGTGGGGGGGCAAAAATGCCGGGGACACCCACAGGCTATTCAAATGGTACACCCCAAAGTTCATGCCTTTTCCTTCTATATCAATGCATCTTTCCTGGAGAGGAGATGGGGAATTCTGTCAGAGTCAGGTGGACCGAGTGAATTTAATTTGAAGTAGCTTTCTGAGGGATGTGTAAGTGCCGGTCCCACACCTAGAGAAGCATTGCTCCATTGCACATGCCATCACATGGCAGTAGCCTCTCATCATATGAAATAAAGGTTAGTAGTCACAATACAGAACACTCCGCAGAACAATATGGAAATGACCAACAACCCGACTAAAAAATGAATTCATAGAATAAATGACCCGAAACGCTTCTCACCATGGACACAGAAAGGGGGCCAGTCTTTCTTTCTTTGTTCCTTTCAGAGTGTGGGCTCAGCCAGTTGGACATGTGTTGGGTCTTTGGGATCAGGAGGGATGGTTGGAACCTGTATACTGGGACCGCCAGCAGTGCTGGCCACCTGGCCAGCCCAGTCCTGCTTCCTACCCCGCTGGGCCTTTTGGCTTCTGCCTTTAACCCGGCTGTTCAGGCAGGTCCTGACCATCTCCTGTCACTCGGTGGGGCTGCCCAGTGTTAGAAACCCCCTCCCCATGTTTGGGGAACTCCTCACCTGAGGAATCTTACTGGAAGCTCCTTGCCCAGCCTGCACCAGTCAGAGGCCTGGCTCTGTCCTTGAACCGAGAGCCGCACTGCAGAGGGGCAAGGCCACAAGATGGAGTCTGCAACCGTGGCAGCGACCAAGGCCAGGTTGCAATGTGGGAGGGAGATATAGATTTCACAGATATAAAAACAGTTTGTATTTTTCTGAGTATGTATTTTTGCATGTCATCTTTTAAAAAACTTTCATTGTGAAATATACGTATGTGCATGAGTATATAAAACCTGTATGTAGAGTATAAAACGTTATAAAGCAAACACCCTTGTAATCACCATGCAGATCAAGAATTGGGATGTTTCCAGTAAAAAAATTGCAGCTGCCCTGATCCAGCAGCCCCATTTCCAGAAATACAAGCAAAAAAACGTGTACAGGGATCTTCACGGAAGCACAATCTGAGTGGCAAAAGCCAAAATAAAAGGACCTAGCGCTGGGCTGGCACTTGCACATATCACTGCTCGAGCTAAGGGTCAGTGACCACTTGGCTGGTGTGATGGGGGGATGGGGACAGGGGGCTGGTGCGGGGAGCAACATGACTCCAGCTTGCCTCTGGACGTGGCCATAAACATGGCCAAAGCTTCCTACTCAAAAATATTCATCATGGCAATATTTTTACAGCCCCAAATAAAATAATTAGAATGTCCACTAATGGGTTAATAAATCCTGATAGTCACCAGAATGACTATTTATATGGTAATTGTTCAGGGGAAAAGTTTAATAATGTGAAAAATGCTTACATTAAAATAAAATGCAGAATATACAACTGTGTAATGGAATGCAGTCACCGAGATGTGTAAAATAAGAGACTAAAATATACCAAAATGTTAAGAAAGAAAAGAAAAGGAGGTAAAAATCACTTTTCTCTAGATTTTCTCTAGGAATTTGTGGTTTGCCTCCCCACCCTCTGATGCTCCTTTGGTCTATACTGTCTCGGTGGGAGGAGCTGATAAGCGTGCTATTTTGCCCCACGCACTCTCGTGTAGGACCAGGAGCCGTTGGGCACTTCACTAGCCTCTGAGGCCCAGGCAGCACCAAAAAAGGGGCTTTGCCTGAGGCAGGGTCCTCCCATTTAATTCCATTCCTAGTCCCTGTCCCCTTCAAAGAAAAGTAAACTCCAGTTTGGGGCTACCCCTCCACCCCTGCAAGTGGCCCATCTTGGTCCTAAGTTGGTCTTCTGGCCAACAGCTTGTCCCATTTTAGCTGTGGCTTCAGGTCCCCAGGCCAGGGGCTGGGGCAGTTCTTGGGTACACAGGTATGGGGGTACCTGTTCCCAGCCCGGAGTTCTATCCTGTGCCTTCCTCAGCTGAGCCCCGAGGCCTCTTCCTGGAGCATTGGAGGAAGCTTGGCCTCGGGCTGATGGCACAGGGTCAAGGTCCTACCTTCCAGGAGCCAGAAGACAGGGTAAAGGGGCCGGGTAAAGATGGCATGGAAGGTATGCAGGTGCTGAGCCTCGGGCTCCAGGCTGTAGAAGGTGAGGCGGCCAGAGACCAGGTCCAAGTCCATGCCCAGGAGATTCCCTGACACTCGTGGGAGGCGCTGGGCCTCCCCATTGTGCCAGGCCTGGGTGCTATCCTCCTGAACGCAGAGTCCCCAGGAGCTGGGCCCACGGCCAATATTGTCTGTGTAGGGCCCCAGCTTGCGCCGTGTCAGTTCTGGGTAGGCGACGCCCAGTGTCACCGAGTGGTTAGATGTGCGCACTTCCCAGTAGTGTCGCCCAGACTGGAAACTCTGGGCACACTGCACCTGCCAGAGCTCAAAGCTGTTTGGCTTGGCCAGGCCCCGGGGCTTTCGACGGTGCTTTACCTGCTGGTCCTGCAGAGACAGGTAGAGGTAGCGGTTGGCACTGTCTGGGTCAAAGGTCAGATTGCGATAATCTGTTGGGGGAGAGAAGTGATGACAGGTATGGGTAAACAGGAAGCAGCCTGGGGGAGGGGGCACAGCCATTTGCCTGAGTGCCAGGGAGGACCCCAACTTAAATTTACCTAACATTTGCAAAGGTTGTGATAACAAGTTTAACTGCACCTCCCCGACTCCAACCTTCCCTCACTTCAACAGACAAAGCTGAACACAATAGATTCCACTACTGGCCAAAGCAAATTATATCCTGGTTAGAGAATGTACGAAGTCAGACAATTAAGTTTGTGAACTTAATATTTTGATATCAGAGGGATTATTCATTATGAATTTGTACCAACTGGACAAACAGTTAACCAAGTTTACTATTTGGAAGTGCTGAAAAGGCTGCGTGAAAAAGTTAGACGACCTGAACTTTACACCAACAATTCATGGCTCTTGCATCACGACAATGCACCGGCTCACACGGCACTGTCTGTGAGGGAGTTTTTTAGCCAGTGAACAAATAACTGTATTGGAACGCCCTCCCTACTCACCTGATCTGGCCCCCAACGACTTCTTTCTTTACCTGAAGATAAAGGAAATATTGAAAGGAAGGCATTTTGATGACATTCAAACGTCCAGGGTAATATGACGACAGCTCTGATGGCCATTCCAGAAAAAGAGTTCCAAAATAGCTTTAAAGGGTGGACTGGGCGCTGGCATCGGTGCATAGCTTCCCAAGGGGAGCACTTTAAAGATGACCATAGTGATATTCAGCAATGGGGTATGCAGCACTTTTTCTAGGATGAGTTCGCGAACTTAATTGTCAGACCTCATAAAGCCACAGCTAAACAGAAACCCGCTACTGCTGTCTACTCTAGACTCTGCCTCCGGCAGCTCTTCTGCTGGTGTTTCTCTCTTTTTTTTTGTTTTTAAGCTGAGCCATCTTGCCACCTGTTGGCAGCTCAGCGGCAGCTCAGCTCGGGCTGGGACTTGAACCGCTGTTGCTCAGAGCTTGCACTCTTGAGCGAGCTCTTAACTAACTGAGCCACTCAGCCGGCCCAGTGTTTCTCTTCTTAAATAAACTTTCTAACTTCTATTCCTTTGTGACTCATTAATTCTTTCACAACCCATGAGCGAGCAACCACGACAAGATGGACCGAAGATGAGCAGGCAGGGTGCCTGCACACATCCACCCTCCTGTCCAACCGAAGCCCTGTCAACAGAACGCTAAATGTCTGCCAGGCATATAGCAAATTGAGCGAGCACTGGACATCATCACAGCATTCAGGCCTCAAGACAACCTGAGGCAGAGACTTCCAAAAGCCCCATTTCACAGATGAGAAAACTGAGATCCAGAAAGGTAACTTAACTTGATAGTAAGTGGCAGAATAGTGACTGATCCCAGGTCTGTGTGCCTAGAATCTCCTTAAACACTATACTGGCTCCATGTGTAAAAGGTGTGCCAGACCCAGGCAAGAGCATGGGCAGGATAGTCACAGAAAGTGCCACACACTCACATACTCACACGTGCACACAAACATGCACATGCACCCACATGGGTACATCTTGCACTCA